AGAAAGGTATGCAAGATTTAGTGCTCTTCTCAAAATAAATATATCATAACGATTATGGTTGAGGACTGCACTGATTTATAAATCACTGTTAACAATTATTACAAACGAAAGCGACAGTAATGGAGCTAAAGTCTGAGGAAAACGACCCTCATTCAGCGATTTTTCCACGTAGAATGGCTCTACAATAAATTATGAGTGAAGGAAGGATTGTATTAGTTTATCCAACAATATGCAGGTCACATCTAACGGTCTAGGAAGTTAGATTCGTTATGTCATTAACAAAAGTAAAACTAAAATTAGAGAATAACCCTCCTCGGCCAAATGTGTATAACTGCTGTCAGAAAACTCCAATCCATCCGAAAGGTAGCCTCAGATTCCATGCCATCCCATTCATTCAACTCATTACCTAGTATCTTCATTTGTAGCCAGAGTAGATTGTTAGCTAGGGTGTACTCTTACTATAACATGCGTTACCATTAAATGCTTAATTGGCTGACATCAAGCGAATAATATTGTCATGCTCAAAAGATGACTTATGTTCTCAAGTTAGCGAAATCCCTGTTATGAGTTCAGTTTATCTGTTAGTAGTTCTTTCTAGCAACCGACCTTTATCTGTGCCTTTTTCCACTTTGGTCGTCAGGCTACTAGGCGTCTCTTTAACCTCCTTCATTTCAATCTTTATCTTCTCAGTTGTGTCTCTGAAGTCGTGTCTCATCTTTTCTGGCGAATCTGGAAATGTAAGAAAAATAAGCGCAATTACATAAGCACGTTTACGTCACACATTTACGTTTAGGTGTTGATAAAATAATGATCATTTCAGTATAACCATTTTTAGAAAGGTTCAGTTGTCAAAGTTCAGAGACACTGGAGCTTAACAAATTGCCCTACAATCAAATTAACGGAGCATTTTTTGGTTCATCTACTGCATTGTGTATAACTGTTTCATGCTAAAGATAACTAAATTTCCAGTTTACATAATTGAATAGGACGAACACATCAACAGCTAGCCCACCCTGCTGCTTAAACTAAAATTTGTCATTTTTCTAATTTTTGGATTCATCCATATTACCTTCAATTTCTTCAACTTTGTGTTTAAGCTGTCGTCGTCTTTCTTCCATTGTTTCATCAGGTTCTAATGATGCTTCTCGATAACCGGATCCATGTAGTCCTGCTCAAGATCGTCGATTTTAGTTCTAAAATGAGATCCTCCCAGTCTCACCAAAGCTTCTCCTATATCCTGCCAATAAGCACTGAAACTACTGTCATCCACAGAGACTTGAGAAGCATGGCCGTATACAATATTCCAGTAATACTTCACTCTGGTTAGGTCATCTGCGATGCTTATGTTTGTTGCTGGGAGAAGTGACAGGAGGGCTCAAACCACAGATATGTCTGAGAAGCATTGTTAGGAGCGTGATTTCGAAGGTCGCAGACGACACGGGTGAGAAATAAGGATACAACTTCCCCCATTTCATGGGATTCAGCACTCTCTTGTTTTTCAGTGATTGCAATGTGGCGTAATGCACTGAGGTACTTCCCAAAACTGTATGTAGAGTCGCTGGTGGATGTATTTTGTCAAAAGTGGACCGGAGCACCTGGGAACCAACATCTACCAGGAGGCAGCATAGCCTCCACATTCACATTAACTAAAGTTTATCAAAACCCTTTGAAAAAAAAACACCATTGATAGGCAATTGAGAGCAAGAATGGTTTCAAATCGTGATGTCATTATTCAGTATAAACCAAACAAGTGAATAGTGCTTTTCGCGCACACCTCTGAGCAGCCGACAAGACAAAGCGCGAGTCAAGAGTTTAATTTACGAACAGTTTTCAGGGAAATAAACTTATTTTTTGGTATCTGTGGTAAGATTATATTAATATGATAAAGGACTGTCTAGTAAGACGGTCCGACCAAAGCTTATTCAAAAATGAGCTTTCGGTTTAATTTAAAATAAAATGGGCTTTCGGTATGATTTAAAATAAAATGGGTCTGCTCTGCATGCAAACGGGGAAATTGACGTCAACAAAATACTATTTTCCCATAACGATCTTTTTCTGTTGACATCTCATGGCAAACTAGCATACATACACCTGTAAAATGTGGAATCGAGCACCGTGCAGAGAAGAGAACGACGCATAAATTATGAGTGATTATGCAATCGGAACCATGCGGTTACTCAGTAGTTGTCATGCAAGATACGGCTTCGTCGAACTGCGTTAGCCTTTAGTTTCAATTTTCAGCAATCATCAAGAGTAACTTTTGACCAAAAGACAGACTGCAGCAAGACTATCAAAGCACCCAGTGACTGGGTACGACAGTTGAGTAGCAATCCACCTTGCTAAATTACACTTGGCCATTTTTGTTCCACTTGCACCACTTTTTAACACAGTATTCATCTCTTTTTTGTTGACTGTAATTTCTTACTTTCATTTCCAATATGTAATCGGTAGAACTTTAAGAATGCCAGGTTTTGAAAATGGTAACAATAAGGGGAAGATAAATTGAATGCGTAATAACTATCGCTACCACCATGTAATCACACAGCGTGGTTGTGTGATTACCAACAAAAATTACCAAAATCCCGGTTTTGGATCCCGGTTCTCGAGGTTGTTGTCGCGCTTGAACTGAGGGAGTTAAGATTTCATTACGGCGACGTGTGTTAAAACGTCGCCGTTCTGTTGAGTTCAAAGTAAAAACGTGACTAAATTCCTGTCGAGGTTTCATCGCTAAGAGGGCGTAAAAGTTATAGTTCTGTATGGGACGGCTGGGAAATTTACAATGTTTTAAAACACGCGTGTTTCGCTATTGTTTTTCTCACGTGATTTCTTTAATTTATTATCATTATTATTATTATTATTATTATTATTATTACAGATTCACCTCACTAGATTACAAATAGACAATAAACTAAATTTATGACTAGAATAAAAAAACTATGGAGAAGGAGACAACCAAAAGCGCTGACGCACCATGTTAGGGATGTCTTATAAATTAAGTCGTAAGAAAAGTACATGCAAGTATAAAAATAAGAATTCTTATTATTCTTAACAAATTTAAAACATTTCTTTTAAAGACTGCAATACTATTTGATTCTCTGATATGATTAGGTAAACTATTCTACTCATTCATTAGCTCAGATCCAAGTCCTTAAAAGAGAATGAAAATCGCTATGCCGTTGCATATGGAGCTGATCAAATCTGATTTTGTACGACATATGATGTTAAGTGAAATATCAAAGTTCTCGTTCTTAACTGATAACAACTGTTATTGTTTGATTCATAACTGGATTTCGAAAGAAGGATTGCTGTTAATCTCTAATAAACCGTTTTTTTTTCTTTTTCGTTTATTCTTTTTTTCTTCGTAAGTGACATAAGAGAAGCCACTCAAATGAAATCTTATCTTGTTGTCAACTTTGTGGAGTCACACAATTTTTATCTGCGCAATGTCTTCCTCACGAAAGAAACCTTGTGATCGTAATCGGTGATGGAGGCGCTTATCGAAATTAGCCGTAGAGTGCAAAATTTCCTTGGAATGTCCAATGACGCTATGTTTAATTATGGCTCTAAATGCTCTGAAATCCCGTTTGAAGTTGAACGGAAGGAAAGAAATTTATTCGTTATCAAACTTGGCATCAATTAGATCCGAAAAAAGGTCCGGCCTAAACTTCAGCGAAGTACCATTATTGGGAACGTTCCCAAGGTACTCAGTTCAGACTGGTGTCTTGAAACCTTGAAATCACGATTTTTCTGATTTTAAGTTTTAATCAGACGGACTTCTGCAGTCTATCTCAGTTATCGATTACCTTCTAAATGTGGGAAAGGGATATTACGTTAAGTACTGTATATTCCATGCATTGCTGAGATCATGGTGCTGTAGAGCCTAAAGCAACAATCTGACTGAACAGTGTGAATTTAACCGTGATTAAACGTGCTATTTTTTCAACGTAATAACCTCGTTTACTTTTTAACTATATTGAGATACGAAGAATACATTGAATAGCTTGCTAGTTTACTGCAATTGTACATAGTTTTATTCGGTTGTACGTACAGATTGTGAGTAGCAATAATTTTTTTTTTGTTGGTCCATTAAAAATTAAGAATAATTCGAATTTACTTTTCGGGGCCCCTAAATAAAGTTTCACGTTGGTGGTATTGTTTTGTTTCCCGTCTGTAGACATGTTCACTTTTATATAGTTACGATAACTTTTCATGATATGATGACTTTTCTTTACACCCCTTGTCATCTGGATAATTTTTCTTTTCATGTGATGCATTAGAAAACTAATATTAAAAAACCTCTTAAATTAAATCTAGGCTTTTGAAGTTCACATTGGATAAATTAGGCCGAAGAAAGCTCTGGTTCGCCAATTTTCGTCAATACTCTGTATGCTAACGAAGTCATTCTGCAAGACCGGGTCTTCACAAGGGCCGATCAAAGTGATTGTAGGGGCCTGACATTTTAACCTGTAAACACAATAATCAGAACACTGTGATTAAACAGCAAAAGAGAGAATAATGGAATGCGTGAATTGCTTTTGATTATTGAGATGGGAGCCAACATGAAATTATGAAAACTACAAACTTCACGATGAGTGTTGAATGAGCAAAGTAACAAATCGAACAACAAAAGGGGTGACTTTTGCCAACTTGGTATTAAAAAGAAGATTGAGGATCCTAACTAACAAATATCACTATAAAACAGAAATTATATTTAATTGAAGTAGTGTAACGAGCTGTACCTTGCACGTGTTGAAGGCTGACCTAGTGCACCTAATGCATATGTTCCCGCACAAGAGATATGTATTTGTAACGTTTTGCTAATGGCAGTAAAGTATGTTCATTATGTATGATTCCTGTTAACTGTACAAGCATTTTAGGCGTGCTTGTAGGTACGATGAATCCATAGGGGCTACTAGGCTATTTAAGATTTTGTAAGTTATACAAGAGCCACTCGAAGGCATTTCTTTCAACTTTGCTTTTGTGTTATCTCTGAACCCTTCAATCAGGGAGATCCTGTCCGTGCGACTGCTTCAAGATCAACGGACTCGACATTGTCCAACGCCGAGACTTTGGAGTTGTTTTCTCATCTTTTGGACTTGAAGTTTGACCAGAAGTTCACTGCATTCAAACGTGATCTAGACGATAAGCTGTCACTCAGTCCCAACTGAAGAATTTTTTTTTCTTTTCAGAAGCTGAAAACGGAATCCAAGGTTTCGAGTTCTTTTAACTTTAGTGGAAACAAAGTACAAAACGAGTTCAACAGCTCTCTACTGGATGCAATAGACGGGGCTATCAAGACCATCTCAAAAGGAAACCTTTTAGCAGGCAATTCAGGTGAATACTCTCATTACTTAACGCAACAAGTTAATTCGTTTCGCAGACAAGAGTCCCGCTGGCTGGACAGGACGGAAGATATGTAAATATGTGTCTAACCCTACAACTACCCACCCTAAAATCAGCGAAGCTCTCTCTGCTGGGTCGTCCATTGAAAGTTCTTTTTCTTCTAATCAGCCTTTTTTTCCCGTGCAGTCCTTTCGTGGACGTCAGCTTCAAACGGCAGACAAGTGCTTTAGCTGCGGATAGAGAGGCCTCTGGGCACAAAGAACTGGTCACTCCGGAAATGATTAACAGGTTTGTGAGTTCCAAGGCTAATCTTTCTGACCTTTACTTACCTGCAATTTGCGTGACTGCCTATTCGGCTTTTCTCCGTTACGAATTAGCTGACCTTCTTTGTTGTGACATTAGTTTTTGCGATGCATTTGTGAAGATTTATGTATTTAAGAGCAACTTGAACAGGTGTTCATTGGGATGGTGCCCACGTTCTGTTGACAAAATCAGGCTCTGTTTCTTGTCCTTTTCACATGCTTTACAGATACGTCCATGCCGCTAATTTAGAATTGTCTCGGTCTTCGTTACCGTTTTTTCGCTCTTTGCATTTTCATAAACTTACCTCTCCTTATGGTTTACGTTCCACGGGTATGAGTTATACCAGAACTAGGGAAATAGTTTTACGAGCGTTTGCGGAACTAGGTTATCGTAATCACTTGTTTGGTTTACACAGTTTAAGAGCTGGAGGTGCTTCTGCAGCCGCTAACGCAGACGTCAGTGATCGACTCTTTAGCATCACAGCAGATGGAAGACAGATCGAGCCAAGGACGCTTATTTTAAGTATAATGTAGAATCTTTTCTCTCAGTGTCTGGAAGTTTGCATATTTAGTTTTCATTGTTCTCTTTCTTTATCTTCGAAAGCGGCCATAAATAAACGAGATGCCCGCTCCTGATGCTGTGTTTGTGTTTATTAAGATTAGTTATAAAATATTTTATAATCGTTTAGGGTAACTAGTGTATACTTTTGCTTTTGTCAACCGAACAATGTGGCGTAATGATTATATTATTGCTATGGGATTGACTGCTAACCACAAAATTATGCCATTTACTTAGGGTTTAGAGTAGTAGTTTACCTCGATTCAGTCCACTAAGTCCAGAACTTCCTGGAACAGGAAATATCTCACTAATAAAATAAGATAAAATTCAGTGATGAGTTTGGTTTACAGACTCGATTTATCCTTTCAAACTCCTTGCTTTTCTGCTACTTTTTTCCAAAACCGAATACTGCTTATCACCATTCAAGAATATGAGATGCTTTGATAAAAACCAGTCAAACAGGGACATCAAAATCTAGACTAAATACTTTTTCTTATTGTGTATATCCGTCAAGTTGGAAATGTCAGCTATTTTATCGAGAATAAATGTAGCTCATTTCAGTGAACCACCGGCGGATTTACTAGCTTTTACTGTGGGCTATAATGTGCTGTTTGACTAAGAAATACTTTCGTGTTTACAAACGCAAATAGGTCGCAGACAGAAGTACTTAATACGGGTGCATTTACTTCTCACTTACCAAGCCTCGTGCCCTGCTTCCTCCATGATTGATGAACTAGTACTGGTATCGGTGTCAAATAACCAGGTTCCGGTGTTGCATAATTTTGAGGCAAAAATGAAAAGAACGTCCACAACACGCTAGCATGTTCAAGGCTTATTAGCAATCTTGGCAAGACGCGAGGCTAGTTCAAAAGGGCGACTGGGTGAAAGATCACTGAATAAAACCCTTTAAAGTATGATTATTTCAGTGATATCAACCCCAGGGATGCACACAATCAGGGCGATCTAAAAGTGAAGCGTATGGAACTTTCGGTTCGAATCGAAGCGGGTTTAATGCTGTTTTTTTTTTTTTTTGAGACAAACAATGAAAAAAAAAAGGGCCAGAAACGAGAAATAAAAGATTATCACACATCCGAGTTGGTCATTGCTTTCTTATATTTGGTGGCTCCTAAAGGAGCCATTTGTTTAAGTGACTACCCAGCGGTAGGTCACTGTTGTCCACTGATCTTGGTTTCGCCCAGGTTAGTCTTGTGCGCTCCTTGGGCTTTCGCTCGGCTTGCTTGTTCCGCTCACGGTAGAATGAGACCTTTAAAAGAGTTGAACCGAACACTACTTTCTGCACCACGTCTTTACAAGCGACGGGGGCACCATTCCCGCCTTGACAGCGCAAACACCCCGAATGATCAAAAAACACTTTTTTGCGCTCTAAAAGAGCAATCTCGACAGGCTTGCAGGGCTGCAACCGACAAGTCGTGGGGTTTCGAAAGTGTTTAATGACCATCCGGCAGGCATTATGGCGTCAAGCTCGTGAATGAGCACAGAAAACTTCGTCGCTCGCAAGAGATTTGGCGCGGAAGGAAGTCCACCGAACAACTCTTTAAAGGTCTGGGTATCCATCGGCATGGTAACAGACGCACGTCTCACGATGCTGGTTGTTGGCGGTTTCTTCATGTTCAGTTTCTCTGCAACTAATACAGCCAAGGTCTGCAGCAAGCCTGGAGTTCCTTGGTGGTTTGTCCTAAACACTTGTTTTAGGCGCTCGTTTGTATCCGTTTCATCCACCCAGCTATCGTACTTCTTTCTATAGCCACGCCAGTGTACGAGGTACTGAACTCGACCGTGAGCGTCCGTACGCTTATCGAGCACTTTCGATACTTCATAAAACTTACTCATGTTTCTTAGCTCTTCTCTCAACCAGGGATTGTGTTTATGATTTGTGTTTACGAGGCTTTTATATGCAAGTATCATTGATAATATTTATGAGCTTTTTAACTGCAGAGCAATACCCTAAATTAGTGAATGGCCCGCCCCCTGTGCGGCGTCGCGTGGGCAAGGATAACAAACAAATGTGCGACAAACGTGAGTGCGCGCGAGGTAGGAAGTCGTCACGAAAAAAAGGAATAACAAACAACGGTTTGCGCAAGCAATTCCAAACCAGTCACACTATTTTTTTTTTTTTCACTCACCTAATGCGACGATGAAGATTTTTGTTTGAGAATTTTTGGCTAACCGGAGAACAAAATCACTGAAACGGAAAAAGGTGCGAAAATCGCACCTTTTGTTTTACCTTCAACAGCGATGTTTACTTGCTTCAATAGACCAAAAAACAAAAACGCGAGGCCTGACAATAGTCTAAGTAAACCCGCCTTTTCACGCACTCTCGACATCTAGCGGTGTGTCTTCATTCTTTTTTTTCTTTTCTTTTCTTTTCTTCTGTTAGCAGTGGAACAATTAGCGAAAAGCGAAATCATTTAAACTTGAAAAGGTGCAAAAGACAAATAGTCTTCTTCCCGATCGACCCGTAGATCCAGGCGCAATTGGTTAAATAATTATTAAGCCATGCACGAAGTAAATTTAAACAGAAGTCATTTTCAAAGAAGCATAACGCCTAAGGCATATTAAACTGAGATAATGCATAACAGCCGCCCGTTCTCATCGCTTCCAGCTACTCACCGCCGCTTGCTTGCTAAAACATGAGCTAAAACATAAACTTACACGGATATAATACAACAAGCTGTATTCTAAGTATTAATTATTTTACTTGACGACTAAAATAAGAGTAAAGTACAGTGAGGCTGAGTAAGGCCGAAACATGCGCGCGCGGTATGACAAAAGTTTAGTCAAAGCAGTTGGCGTACTCTTGAAATTTACTGACCCACCCCTTGTTGGTTTGTCTTTGATTTCCAAAGTAGGCTACAGTTGGGAAAAAATGTTATCAGTGACAATTTGCCGACTGAATCCGATTTGACTCGAGTATAATTTCGCGAAACCGGACGGAAAAATCCCTAAGGCCAAACAACAAAAGGATCAATGTCTTAAAAAATTTAAACCATAACAATAGGCAAAGTTTGATATGATGCACGTTTCGAAGTAGTTTGCTACGGCACACAGAATCACGTGCTCACCCCAAACGCCATCTTATCCCATGTATACTAGGCATTCAGTCCATGTTTGATGTCAATCTACGAAGTGAAACAGATCTGTTCCATCCGGCTGTAAGAAAGATGATTTTTGATAGGAACTTGAGTGCGTGGAGTACGTGTCAGGGAGTCATTTGTCAAAATGATACGAGACACCAATAATTAGCAATTTACTGTACAGTAACAAATTTTGTCTTTGAAACGTCTTTCAAAACCTTCGTGTATATTCTAAAGACTTAACAAAGAGCAGGAAAACAACAATAAAGATCCATCATTGAGAGAATAACTAGAATTCTGTTGTCTGATGGAGGTTTAAAGGGAACTTTTTTGAAACAACGTATGAATTTAACCGTAACCAACATCATTGTGTGGCTTCTTAAAAAATAAAGTTATTATTATCATTCCATAAATAAGTAACAGTACTCCTGGTCACTTCACGCTGCGAACACAGCGATAGGTTCTGGTAGTGTTAAACCAAGTTTTGTCTTAATCGTCATGTGAGATTTTGATTTTCTTGGCAATTTCCAGTTGTTCGGACAAGGTATAAAACATGCAATTTCCTAATCCTTGATTGTCAGATATTCTGAAACCCCTGTCTGATGTAATATTCCTCAGCCACAATGATAGATCTGTTCTGCTCTTGACTTTGCTTGCATCGAGCTGCATCTGCTGAAGTTCCTGGATGACTCGGTCAAGAGAACCTAGAAGAGACAAGGTTTTTTATTAATCTAACTGCATGAAAAAATCGAAACAATCGTCTGCTGAAAAATAACAATCCTCAACCTACTAAGAGAAACTTTGAGAAGGGCTTCAACCACCAGACTTCCGCTGTTTTTTTCAACAACTCAACCTTAAAAAGGAAGTTCTAGCTGTCAATTGAGTAACTTTTAAAGTTCGATATCTGTCCATGAATGAATACATTAATAATCAAGAGAGAAGAAGCAGAGAAGAAAAATTAAGGACGAGGTCTACACTCTGACATATTTGAGTAAGTGGAAAAAGGAGTTCTGGAAAAAATCACGGGCTTCAAAAAATGAATTGATGTATTTCCTCCACTTTATGAATATGTGATTACTTCAATATTGTGTCGAAAGACAACTGTATTGTGAACAGACCATAAACCGGTTTTTATAGGAACAGCTTCTGGACTTCGATTTCGTTTCAAGAAAAAGCAAACTAAGCCACACTAAGCCAATCCGTCCGGATCAGAAAGTAAAAGAAAATCAATTACTTGATACACGTCTTTCGTGTGTGACTGAAGAGTGCACGGGTATAAATAACAACATGTCTATTTCGTAAGGAACATGATCAAAATACCTCGCGAAGTTTTCACAAAGCATAGCTGTCCTAAAGTTGAAAGTAAAGGTAAGGAAACTGTTGCAGCTCATTGCAACCTGCCTGTACTTCTTGGGGATGTCAATTATCGTGTGTTATCAATATTTCATTACTCACTTGGGGTCAATAATGAATCAACTGTTAGTCGACCTGCCGAGTTCTGAAACCTGTTTCTCGTCTTTTAGAAGCTAAAAAGATAAAAAGGAACTTTTGTTCAATATCACAGCAATCAACAAGAGGTTAACACAACTGATTACTATTCATGTTTAACATATTTTTCATATGAGGGGTTCATGCTTTCCATCACAGTTAATGAGAGACCGAGTAAGCCGAGTAGTCCCCTAAACACTTTGTGAAGGATATTCTCACCCAAAACTTCTCCACAAGAATGTCACACTGTTTCTCCCAGCTAAACTTCTCTTCATAGAAACTCCTTAATTGTTGAATATCTTTTAGTCGATCTGATCTTTCCTTCTGTCGGATGCCAGCAATTGCCTTTGCCCAATCTCCAGGGTCCTCAGACTCCACCACGAATGATTTGCCTGATGGTACAGTGCACAGTGCTTCACCAAATCCTGAGTTTCCACTAACAAGAATGGGAAGACCAGCAGACAACGCCTCTAAGGCGGTCAAACCAAAACCCTCTGTTCTGGAGGGCATGATGCAGAGATCAACTTCACAAAATAATTCTTTCAATCTCTCTTTGCTGTGCAAGAACTTCCTCACGATCAGCTGGCTTTTATCAATTCCACTCTTTAGCAAATTCGCTGCAACTTCATCGTGTTTACCGTCAGGTGCACCCACGAATACGAGACAGTAAGACCTGTCTTTTAGTCCAACTATTGCTCTGGCAGAGATATCGTAGCCTTTAAGACTAAAGTCCTCTGGATCACCACGGCCGAACGTCAGTACCTTGAACTTGTTGCTCTCCTTTGGAGCTTGTTTTACGTCATAGAACTCACGGAAAGTTCCAGGAGTCAGTTGAAGGATGTCTTCCTGACTCTTGCCTGAGCGGAGCTGAGCGGAGAATGTGTCTGTTAGCTTTGGTCCAACTGCTAGCACAGCATCTGCCAACTTACACAACCCCACTTCAATTAAATTCTTCTTTTCACCTATAGAAATAGCCTTAGGATAGTTTTTGTGCATTGCAAGTTCTTCGGGTGCAGTGTGCACCACCTGAATCCACTTACAATTGTGAGAATCTCTGATAACTTGGGCTTGCTTACCAAGCTTTGCACCATGACCCAGCACAAAGTCAATGACAAGGTCTCTTGGTGGGAAACTCAACCAATCAAGAGGATCACTGAAGCCTACCAGTTTCTTGGCTTCCCGGATGGAAACATTGTGACATGATGCCATTCTCTTCTCGTCTTCAGAACAGGCAGATTGTGGAACAAGGAGAGTAACATCCACTTCAGAGTGCTTGGCCAACAGAATGGCAAGCTGTCTGTTGATGGTGGACAAGCCCCCCATCGACGAACTCCACTCACTGCCCAGGAGAGTCACCTTCAATGCTGTGGCAGACTTCATTGGACTGATTTGACTTGCTTCACCATGTGATCTAGCCGCTACATTTGAAGAGGACAAACCCTGAAGAAAAAAGGGTCAGATAAGATTATGGTAATTACATTTTAAAAAAAAATGGATGCAGTCGTTTAAATTTATCTTGATCAACACTTTACCAGGGAAAAATTGAAAAAAAAGTATAAAATTAAAAAAACAATTCTGTCTTATTAGAAATTCTTTTACTTATATTTGAAAACGCACGTCATCCTGTATACCATATCTTGATCAATTGAGGGATAATTTTAGCAACTGCAGATAAGAAGTGTGAAAAAATTCAGGCTTCGACCAGTGCACGGGCTCGAATCCCATGGAAGCCCGACTTTTTGGTATCGCTTTTTTACCTTTTGTTCAGCACAGGAAATCCATGGATAGAATTTCTCGACCTGAATTTGGTTATTCGCAGCGCCTACAGACTTGGTGCAAATGGCCTGCGTTTCATCGCCCAAATCTAACTCTGAAATGAAGTGAAGGCATTCCTCTTCCTTACAACCTCTTTTGTGATGGAGTTTACACAGACTGATCACGCGTCCACGGGAACAAACAGGACATAAGAAACACACATCACACCCAACGTTCTTCACCCAGAAGCACTTGTCCCGAACTTGATTAATGATCGAAGTTAGTTGGCTGCGAAAGGATTGAATTGAGGCCATATTCACCATATCAATACCACCATTAGCACTGACAAGAACAACCTCGATTGTGGAAGAGTGGCAAAGGAGAACCACAGAGAGACCTTGCTTCGGAAAGTTGTTAAATCTGGCAAAATTGTTATAAAGTTGTGGCAGAGCTAAGCGAGGAAATTCTCTGTCACACTTCAGAAGGAATTCTATTACAAATCGGGGAAATAAGCCTAGAGGGACCCGACCTGTGTCAAATTTGATAAAAAGAGGAGGTATATTTGCAGATTCAACGAGATCACATATCTCCTCGGGTAGAGGCGTTCGCAACATAGAAGGCACTATGTAACGCTTCTTGGGAAAATCTTGTGATGATGGCCAAGGACACAACAAGCTGAATTTTTCCATAATTGCAATTAGACTTTCGTGGGTTTCCCTCTGAGGAATCAAAGAATTCCAAACATGTTTGAGAAGTTCGTCCTCCAGGATTCCTTCGATCTCGAGTCTTTTCCAAAGATGGGCAAAGTTTTTCTCTTCACGAAAGGCTCTGACAGTTATTACATTCTTGAACACATCAATCAACCACTGAATATCCAAGAAAACTAACTCGCTTAATTCTGGACTGTCATCAAAGTGAATCAGAACTCGCAGATCGTGCAAAAAGTTTAGCACTGTCTGTGTCTCGTTGTAGTTAATGTAACAAACTTTGGAAGCAATCTCTTTCGCTCTCACGAGAGGGATAAACTTGTAATCTCTTTCCTTGAGGGCTTGAAGGGCCTTTTCGTATTTCAACCACTTGATCGGAATAGCCTCGGTTACGTGTGGTAACTCTCTAGAAACGTCATGTACGCCCTCTCGCAAGCGCACGATTTCTTCACATTCTGATTTTGTGCCTGACTTAGTGTTATCAACACAAAAAACATCAAACAAGTGAGCACCATATGGCTTGATCCTTAGATCGCCAAAAATTTCATTGGCTAGTTCAACCGGATCACGTGCGCAATAGGGCTGATCAGCATGTGTGCACACCAGGAAGACGGCGGGAAATTTCTTGAAAGACAACACCATCTCAGGGTCCGCTAAAGCAGCCAAAGAACTCATCCAGAAGTCTAAATAGTCAAAATTCGTTTTCAGATTGTATTCATCTGCATTGAACGCTTTGTAAACTCCTTGCTTCATCAATGGTGTGGCTTTGTCGCTTGGATTTCTACTCAAGTCATAAACCAAAAAGTAGATGGCTCTTCTTGTGAGAAAGAGGGGGTGCGTCACGTAATACACCGACTGTCCAGCAAAGTCCCACAGTATGGAATAGATGTCTTCTTTATCGTCTTCCCAGTTGTCTCGAAGGAGCGTGGGAAGCAACCTCGCAACATCGTCGAAATCCGGCAATTTTTCCCGCGTGGTGGTAAGCAAATCTTCATCTGGTTCTAATTCTGTAGGATTTCGTACTTCCTTCGTTGGTAAATGAGGTTCCTCATCGGTGGTATTGGTTGATGCTGGATTTCTAGATGGCTCTAGAAGATCTGCGTAACTTGTCTTAGTGGGTTCTCTTTTCACTGGGGTGTCAGATACTTCATAGCCAGCTGACTCGGCTGAGCTTGTTCTTTTGACTTCAGCAATTTTTTCATGCACCGTCAATTTGTCTGCAACCCACCGTGCTGTATTATGCTCAAATGAAATAACTGTGGTATCAATGTTGGCCTCCTCGTCTTTTTCTCCTGTTTTCCATATTTCGGTGGTTACTTTAAACTGATAACGATCGACCTCAATTCCCAGGGTGCTATCTTCGTTTGGGTTGAAGCAAATCCCTCTCAAGGACTTCTTCACGCTGGTTTTACCAGACCGATCTTGTCCAACTATCATCAGAGGCACTCTCTTGACGCAAGCTTGACCATCGGCTAGGGCATTTAAATAGGTTGCCAAAGCTTGAGGACCTCGAGCACGAATCGATGGAGGAACTGCAACAAACAGAAATGATTCTCGTAGTTTAATTATGCAATGTGGACCAGCCAACTTATTAAAACAATCTATTTCCAAGGTGTACTTTTATAGCCATCAATGAAATTGTGATGTAAGTAGCGATGGAATAAAAGTGCAAAGAAGCCCACGAGAAACCACAACGGGTTCAGATGATAGGCTTCTTCTAAGTCATACTAACTCGTACTTATTTATGACTAAGTAAATGAACAAACAAAACAAATTGGTACAAAAAGAAATAGACTCAATGAAAACCGTAAAGGATAACCGGGCTCAGAAGAAGTGAAAGAAATTTTTTAAAAAAAAAACATTAATTTACATCAAAAGAATGTTTTCAGTTCAGTTATATACACATGTGGTACCTATGGGAAACAGAAAGTTTTCTGGATTTGTCCTACCTGTACGTTGAGATTTACACTGTCTATTGCAGATTTTAGATATCATTAACGTTAAGTATACTTGATTCTTATAAATACTGAATTAATTTTTCACAATATGATTGCAATTGCAATGCTCACTTTGCGTCCCCCGAAATTCTCTGGCGAGCAGTGCCTTGGGAAAAAGTCCTCTTGTTTAAATATCATTCTTCTATTGACCAGTGATTCTTCTTCATAACGAAGCATGTTTATGTCTCATGAGCAAACTTTCAATAGTCTCTTTGTTAACTGTTTCAGTTCCACCTCATTTTAGACATACTGAACAATTACATCAACGCCAAAATTACAACCAACGCAAACTCTCGCGATTTGTATATGAATTTCTTTCTTTCCAACGATATAGTTAGGCTGTTACTTATGCAAGAAATGTATTTAGTTTTGACGATTCCATCGCCCATGCCTTGGAGTCCATGGCATTTCATCAATTTTACCTTTTCTTTCTACTCCATTACTCTTTAAGGCGGCAACAACAAAGCATTGAACTTCCTTGACAAACTCGAGAAACTCTGGTAGCTTTCTCACTAAATTCTCTGGTTGCCACTGCCCACCACTGAGTAGCCTGTCCCACTCTTCGCAATGTAGGTGTACATCAGTCTGCGAGAAAATCGAAGTGTAAAGAAATCATAATATAACCTGGCACTCTTCCAAGCAGTGCCTTTAATAGAGTATGAGGGCGCAGATTGTCATGGGTAGACAGAAGGAGAAACCGTTTAAATAGCCTTGTTTTATAGTGTTCAGTGAATAGCAAGCTACGTTAGTGAAAGGAATATACGACGATGATGATAAATGAACTTCAAATCAACTCGAATACTGTCATAAGAACTAAACTTTGGAAAAGTTACATTCTACATAACTGAGTAAATTTATATTAAAAGAGTGCTGAAGTTTGACAAAAAAACAGAATTCATTGATATAGCATGAAAGCATTACATGGCTTAAAAGTAAAATCTGCAGTGCATATATACAAAGCTCAGTTGTAGAATTGCCCGTACTTGAAAGTAAAAGAACATGGTTTCGCCACCTCAAAGGTTCTTCGCAGTTTCTTTGATTCTGATGGATATCCACTCTCGTTAAACAATTCATTTAATCGCTGTTTTAAAGTTATCAAAATATTTCAGGAGTGAGTCAAGAAAGTATGGCGAAAATTATGGAAATCATTAGTTACGGGGAAAAATGAAGTCTCTACCGATTCTCTGAATGTTCCATCTTTCATATCAGCGGTCCAAGATTTTTCTTTCGACAGGATGACACTGAAACCAGGTTTAGACGTGTACACATTTCGTTTGGAAAGCCGCATATGAACCAGATGAAATCCCCTGGGAATCTCCTTCTCAGGGAGTCGTAGGCCAAACGTGTCATCATCTGTAAAAGTCAGCCCACAAAGATATCTTGCCAACACACGTATCACCTCTTCATCGGGCGCATAATCTACCTTGTTGGCCCTTCCTAATCAAATATATACAGAGAAAGAAATTTACAAGAGGCTAATTAATCATTTTTATTACACCCATTTTGAAAATCACCATTTTGAAATCACTGGTGGTCCCTGTAATCTGATTGGCTCTAATTGGTGCGATTTATTTACGAATCGCACCATTTTTTGCTTTGAGGAAGCTACACTAAAAACAAAACAACCAACCAGATTTCAAGACTTCTACTGCTCAAGTAGTGTTCATTACTGCGAAGATCGCTTTCATATTAACGTGGCAACTTTTGTTTTAAAAACTCTTATCTTTTCCCCTCAAAAAATGGATGAATTTAATTTCAAACCGGCTCAGTACTGCGTCAATTAAATATTTGAACTGACCAAATCCTGTATTTGCACGATTTCAAAATGGATGTAATAAAGTGGTAATTGAACCTCGTGTCGTGCAATTTTGGTCTGAAATCATATTTGTGATTTCAAATCAAACTGGCGCTGCGCGCTCGTTCAATTCTAAAATCACGCGAATGATTCAGCCCAAATTGCACTCCACTATATATCCCTCTGGCAGGCCTTCTTTTGGGACCTTTTCGAACAAAATCGCAGAATTGATGATTCCACGATTATTCCGATTCCGTAAACCCTGACTGATGTACTTAAATAAGGGCAAAAAAATGATTTGGGAGGAAAGAGTGTAGTAATATATTAAATTTTGTGGTGATAGAAGCGAACTACAAAAATGTATCTCGCAATATATCGGGTGAGAGGAAAGAAAAACTGCATATTCGTTTTTTAAAATACGTCATTGAAGAAAATTTACGTTCAATAAAATAAATTAAAATGTGGAAAGCTTGGATTAATTGGAGTCTTTATTTTTTCTCGATTCAGTGTGGATTCCAAGACTGCAAGATATTTGAGATGAAGTAGAAGGTAATCTATAAACTTAAATTTTTTTTATTCTAATTACAGCGAAAATACCTGCATGTTCATTGATTATGAGTCTGCAATCAAACTCGCACCCGGGAAACAAAATATCGGCTTGTAAATATCTCCGTGATGGGAGAACCACCCAACCTCCACATCGTGACCGAGTGGATTCATCGGTGAAGTGAATCTCCTCCATGATATTTCTGACGTCAGTGGCTGGGGTTGGGATTCTTTCAAACTTCTCCTCAACATCCTTTTTCACTACCCAGACCTGAAAAGAATGCATGTTAAGCTTTTGAGAAAAAATTATTGCAACTAATAATGAATTCTTTCAGCTTTCCCATTCGAAATGCTCTGTTTTGTTTTTGCCGTGGCTTGATAAGTAGATATTTAACATTAATGGCTATATGATAATAGCATTAAGCTTACTTAAACCAAAGTTTTATCGTTTTGACACAATGCAACTTGGTGTAGTCGGTGCTTATTCAAAACTGTTAAGGCCAGTTATGCTAACAAGGTTTAGCTGTTGTTTAACAAAACGGCACTCCAAGCCATCTTTAATGTAGAAGATCCTTTTATCTGAACATTTACTTTTGTGAACAGTGTAAAGAGAGCCGATAGCTAATAGTTAAAGGACAATTATTCAATGGAATCAACGTTCCCTCCAGAGGAGAATCCCTGAGGCCCACTGTCTCTGTAAAATTGCGGTTTGGGTTAGGCCTATGTAAGAAACCGGCCCTTACGGTTTGGTTTAGCTTTCTTTTGATGTGCAAAGAAACAACTTCGAAACTGCCCACAATGTACAACGATAAGAACACCTTAGTTCATTCGAATTTTATTTCTTTATTTACCAGCCATTATTTTTAAAGTTTTCGTCCTGTAATGAATTGCTTTTAGTATCATAAAAGCCACCGACTTTGTGGAAAATTTAACCAAGCCTGTTGTTAAAAACTGGGCGAGTCGCCGCCCATGTAATCAGACCCTTGAACTGACTTACCTTGCATCTCAATTGATGACTGCATGGAGTAACGAATGCTAAGTCAAATCTTGCGGCGTAATTACGATATTCTTTCGGCGTATTTTCATAGAAATAATTCTGAAATAAATCTGCTATGAAATCCACGCCTTCTTGAAATGCAACCTTCCAATAATTTCCATCGGCAGAATATTCAAACCTTGTTGTTGCATCATCTATACTCCACTCTCCTGATGGGAAACAGACTTTATTTGAGCTTAGTTTGTATTGTTGATAATCACAAATTTGAACATCTTTGATTTGAATGCTTGAGTGTGTAAGAGGAAGGGAAGATATTGCATTTAATAAGTTAAGAATGATGATAATGAATACTTATATAGCGCTGAGCGCTTAATGGTAATTTCACACTTTATTACATCCATTTCAAGTGAAATCACTGGTGATCCTTGCAAATCTGGTTGGCTCTCATCAGTGCGATTTATTTACGAATCGCACGATTTCGTGCTCTTAATCGCATCTTTTTCCCTGCCAATGATATAACTTAACTAAAACACAACAAACCAATCAAACTGCAGGAAAGTGAAAGACAACTTTTTAACTTTTTAAAAACCAGCTCAAAACTAGATCAATTAAAGATTTGTTAAGACTAAAACAACGTGCACTTTAGCAACAAATTTTGACGATTTTAAAGAAGATGTAATAAAGTGGTAATTAAACTCTGTGTCGAGCAGTTATGGTCTGAAATCATACTTGTAATTTCTACTCAAAATCGCCCTGAATTATGCAATTGCCAAACGAAATACAATGTGACCTTCATATACCAATGGAAAAAAGAGCAAAACATAAACAAAAGTGAAATGAAAGTGTAAAGTTATCGAAAGGGTACGGACGAAGGGCTAACGCTCGAAACGTCAGCTTTTTTACCCTTTACGGTGGCTAATTTACGTTTTCAACCCAGTTGTTAACACTAAATTACCTAGTGAGATGTCAAGTTGAACACGAAAGAAAAATTTCATTTCTACAAGCAATCATGTTTTACTTTGTTTATCACATCGCTCTGACGAAGGGCTAACGCTCGAAACGTCAGCTTTTTTACCCTTTACGGTGGCTAATTTACGTTTTCAACCCAGTTGTTAACACTAAACTACCTAGTGAGATGTCAAGTTGAACACGAAAGAGAAATTTCATTTCTACAAGCAACCATGTTTTACTTTGTTTATCACATAAACGCAATAGCCCTTTACTGACATGAGAAGTCCACTTAATCAATGAATGAAAATCGTAAAGTGCGTTGGCGCACTCAGGATGAAAACATGCATTGAATCACTACAAAAAAAAACAACGGACCTAGTTTTCAAAATTCTCAGTTATTAAATTGGTCCTTACCGACAGAAGAATTCTCTCAGGTACAAGGTCAAAATCGGCCTGTGGCAAATCTTTTAGTTATTGACTTTCGTTCTCAGCCACGAGATATGCCATCACTAAAGCAAGTCACTGTTTGTAAGCGATATGGATTTTTCAGTGTTTTAGCATCCATAGTCCGAAAAATTCCGAAAGGCGAGAGACGTGTCAGCAGCTGATTGGCGATATCAAACGTGCGTAAAAAAAATATCGTTTTATTTTTTTTTCCACGTGTGTTGTCACAGCTTTCCTAAGGGCTGGAAAATCCTTGTAGAATACTGTAGTTTATAGTATAAAATGATAAATTTAATATCATTTTGTGATCTAGTCGCTAATTCTCATGAAAACCGTCAGAACGTGCGATAAACCAATTAAAGCACCGGAAACTGAATGAAATATCGGCCACAAAGGCGAAGCTGTAATTAATTTAAGGCTGAATGAAAGCAATGACACGGAGAAACTAGGCAGAAATTGTAAAGAAAACCATCGAGAAAAAGCGATATGTGAGATGAAGGCACAAACTACATGGTGCTACTGAAGAATACTTCAACTTGGATGGAGAAAACGCTATTTTTGTGGCCAGAATTGGCCTACCACTACGATTGCAATCTGATAATCTGTACGGAAAGTTTTTAAAAAGTTTGCAAGCCTAGGAAGCAGCTTTGAAAAGTTCTGAAAGTTTTTCATCGAAATGAAGGTCGGGTGTACAGTTTCAACTGGTAAAATTTATTTCGATTATTTCGGTTAATAACATTATTAGCCTGCACCACGACAAAAGCGGCAAAATCGAAAACAACAACATAGAGCCGTGTGTACTGATTCTAATACTGTCCAGCTAGCTTGCCTACTCGCGGCACACTGTTTTCCTTGAACCAATTTTATTTCTATTGCCTCAGTTTGAATAAAGTGCTTTTATGGAGTCCTCGTTAAAATGTAAAACAAGTGCTTAAAACGCTTAAACTTGGCAAAAACTATCAAGTGAAAGCTGAAATCGTAGACAGGAAAACTGATTTCTCAGAAATCTTGAATGTTCATTTACTTTGTAAGTGGTTTTTCTTCTCGTGTAAATAAGATTTTCAGTAGATTTTCGTTATTTTTTAGCAACAATTTCCTAGTAAATAAAATGCCAACTTTTTCTTATGGGGAATTCCAGTTGATAATTTCTAAAGTTCTTTCACTTTAACCGCGAAGCGCCGGGTAAGTAAAGGCTTCAAACGGAGCGAGCAGCTGTTAGTTAAACTTAACTCTGAATAGAAAATATTTATAATGCTAGAAAAATTAAATCTTTTTCGTTGTTTTTTGCGTTCAAAGTATTCTCATTGTTTCCTCCAAACCAAAGGCCTTTAGCAAATTCAAATCCGAGAATTTGCCCCGTGTGGTGCTTGTTCACAGGAAGGGAAGATGTTTCAGTTTTCTATGGGTATACAGGCAAATATACATGCAAATATATATGCCGGTCACTTACCTTCATTAGGTCCGCGGATCACAGCCGATCCAAAATGACACCAGATATCAGCCTCTAAAGGATTCTTTGCTTCTCCATGGCGTTTCATCTTACGGAGTGATTCCAACACAGCGTCTTGAAGTTTGGACAGATAACGCGAGTCGCTCACAGATTTCTGATAACAAAAGAGCCCAAGATTTTTTTTTTAATTTATTTTTTTGTTTTAATAAAGCATTTCTTACGTTCACATACAAAATAGAAATTAAGAAAGAAGAAAAAAAGAGAGAAAAAGACACACACATGCACTCACTTGTATAGTACAAATAGAAGAATATCAAGTTAAACACACACACAAAGCTATTATAGCAATACAGTTACCTAGTATGTAAGTTACCATGGCATCACTTTAAAACTAATCATGGAAATTAATCATGACTTTACTTATTCGTAAAAATGCTTATTAACTTTTCCCACTTTCTAAAATGATTGTCTAATTTGTCTCTTTCCCGGCAATATGGAGTTCGATATTGTAAAAACGCCTTGTCCTGGCTATAAAACCTTGAAGAGAAGGTATACCATTCCGGTATTTCCGTGAGTAAATATAAAACTTACCCAGAAGCAGAATATGGTTAAACAGGAGAAAATATTCTGCAATATCGAACTTAACAAAAATGACATCTTCCTCTTCAAGGCTATCAACAGAGATGTTATAATCGCGCAACCAGGACAAGACATGTTTCCAAAAACTAGATGATACTCTAACTAACGTCAAAAAGGTTTTTGAATGAGGATTTGTAGCTTCATTAGCTTCGTTTTCCCCCAATTTTAGGCTGATCATCAGCACCACATATAAGACGTCTTTAAAAGAGAAGCACCTCACGATTTCAGGCAACACTTGATATTAAGAAACGGAAACCGCTGACGAGACCAGGGGATTATTTTTGGACTGTATATAGGTTTCCTTTTTCGCGCTGATCGGAGACTTATCGACAAAAACATTGAACGTATATAAATCGAGCCAATTCTCAAAAAGCGAAAAAAAAAATGGAAAAGAAAATGCATTGATCTTTTGAATTATTTCGAGAGAAAATTATTTTAAGGAGGCCTTCTTCGTGAGCCGGTTTGATGGTGGATAACGATGAATTTTGAGGGTTTGGGTCTCTAGACCAGATTTTTTCCGTACAATCAAATTTACATATTAACGGCGACTGTGAAATCTCTTTCCAAAACCTACATTTCATTTGGTTGGCACCATGGAGAAGGAAGGTCCTAAAAAGGAGATTCCACCAGATATCTTTTGTCGGTAACAAAACTTTATGATAAGTGTGGCACAGATACTAGTGACTCAGTATTTTTCGTTGTGACCCTTGAAGAATGAAAAACACCTAGTCTACATACATTTAATTGATAGCAGACCAACGGGCAGGCTGTGTAAACGCCGCAAAAATGAATTCATTAAGAAGAAGGGTAGAGAACTTAAGCCCGCGACCATCAGATCACAAGTTCAACTCTCTAACACACTGCCATGATAAGTTTACATTATCTTGTTATAAAAAGGTATTAAATCAAGCCCATTTCAAGGTCCTCGTTTATGGCCAACCAAAGTATATAGCCCTACACAAAGTTGTCATTATTTTTGCCAACGATTAGTATATTAAGGACAACACACCTGTTGGCCTACTTCACTTGAAGGTCTCAGTCGATACTGCTCTTCTTTTTCAGGGACCAAAACCAACTTCAGTTTACAGTTTTCAGAGAGATTCCAGCCATCAATGAAGCCACAGACTTTATTAAATTCGTTTCTTACCCCTCTCAGTCTTGCTCGAGCCTGAAATTGAAGTCTTCTTTAGTAATTTTATAGATCATTCTTTGTGATTAAGAAAAAAAAACTGTAGATGGCTGCCTCAAAATCTCCCCTTTCCATTACTGTCCACAGCATTCGTGAGTAAGGATGATGTTACCTAGCCAGAAAAACGAACATCACAACATTGGCAGTAAGTGCCGCACGAAAATTGAAACTTGATGATATCTTGTGATGGAAGCAAACGCTTTTATGGGTAAACACAATGCTCATGATGCGACAAAAACGTACTCATTGCGATATTAAAAAATTGATATTAAAAACTGCTTACAATTTTTATTCCAATGAGCTGTTTAACATGTTTCCTTTGCTTCTTTGTTCCTTTCGTAATATGCACCTCCCCTCCTTTCCGCGTTACTTCTGCTCCTGTTTCGTTGCTTAACTCATGAAGATTAGCTCCGTGCCTACCAATTATTAAACCTTTATATCTGGATGGAATTTCCACCTCCTCAAAAGTATTAATCTCTATCTCCTCCTGTGAAGAAATTAATATAGAAGTTTTAAACTTTCAAGAAAATAAAACTGAATTGTAATATGTAGAGGGAAAGCTTATAACATCCTTACTGATCCCCGCTCCAATTAGATGAAACGGATTTTTTTTTAATTAAAAAAATTAATTTGTTTTAATTAAACATGCATATGGTTCGTCATAACCATCTATCTATGTGATCAGAGTTAGTCTTATCCGAGAGTGGACAGTCTTTAGATCTGCATTTTTAAAAAAGCTTACCACCTTTTCCAAAATAAGTTTCCTTGCTATTTCTCTCTGCTCTGAATCCCCAAATATAATAAATCCTTCCTCGTCTCCCTCTGTTGAGGTGATTGTCGCCCCAGACGTCTGTCTTATTGTATTTAAAACGGCTCCATCCCTTCCAGTAACATGACTTTTGAACTCCCTCGATACTGGCACAAATTCACTCTCCATTGACAGCGAGATTCAAATGATCTGAAAACCATGAGTACTTTAATAATTTGAAAGTTCCCGTAGTTAATAATGCTAAAGCAAGTATGTAGGCCAAGAAAAAAATAACAAACCAACACAAGGTAAGAAAACCGAAACAAACAAGCTTAATTATCATTTAATTATCAAAATTTTCAATTGGGGTTATTTCCATCACCAACACTATTCATCTTTATTATAGTATGAATGATTTAAGTTTTCCAGTCATGGTTTAGTTTGATTCTTGATGAGCTTGTCTTATGCGGAGTGGACAACGGAATGGAATTACGGAAACATTCTTGACAGGGAATTACTCATCTAATAAAGTTTAGGAAAGGAAGTACAAGCAGTTTTTCCATCATGAGATCTACGCTGAGTTATAACATAAATCGACCAGCACCGACAATTTGGGCAGAAACTGAACCAGTGAAAGACAAAGGCTCTTTCGACTTCCTTCTTCCTTCGTTGACTTCAATATACTACTGCCCTGAAAGCCTCCATGATGAAATGAAGAATTTATAAAATAGGAAAGTAAACACAACATCAAGCATTGAAAATTTACCCTGAACCACAGTAGCCTGCGGAAGAAGATATGTCAAGATATAGTCGACAATTTCAAAATTCAACCGAATGTGCTTCCACGTAAGTTATATGCCATTTCCGAGTGGAAATTAAGTCAGGGTTTGATGGCATCTTACTTTCTCTAGGGAAGCTAACAATTTCCCTTAGTTGGCACCTGGCCGTAAGAAGTCTTAAACAGCTACCGTTCTTGAAAGTAAACACTGTATTGATAAAAACCATCCAAGCGGAATTTGAGACATTAATCAAGAAAACAAGCCGGCTATACCAAAGGACTTATCTACGCTCCATGTAATCTTCACGTTAATCTTTCGTTTACTCACTTAAGAAACACAGGCTTCTCACTATTATTTCAGATTTTCTCTTTAAGAAGGAGTTTCTCATATAGGAGAAGTAACTCGTCGATGAGCTTCTGTGGAAAGCCTATTGCGCAATTACAGTATGGGTTCCGATACGTAGTGAATTATAACATTCCCTATTTTAAGACAACCGATTATTTTATAGCGACTGGTACATTACTCATCTCATAATCATCATGTTTGTTTGAATCACATATTGAAACTTGTTAAAAGATCAGGCGCTACGTTACTATTATCGATCTACACGGTACCTTAAATAAATGCCTGCTGCTACTGATTGATATCAAATGGTGCAATGAAAAATAACCTTGATGTCATACACAACCGTTTATTTTCCTGTTTAGGTTCACTGGGTTTGTCTTACGTATTTAAGGCGAAAGTGAAATTCTATGACGAAAGAGGGTTATCCTGCCACTGTCTGAGGCTCGATTACATTTGTGTCTTACCATTTGCCTCCGCTGTTACGTGTAGTTTCCTCCACAGATCGTCTTTTAAAAAGGGCTGGAAGAGCCCGTCGGTCGATCGGTCGATCACCACCACCTTTTGTAGCTTAATTAAATGAAAATAGTTTTGTTTGGAGCCGAGATGTTTGAGAGAGGCGAGCGCGTTGCAACCAGAAGTACTTCCGTTATGGCCGATGTGGTGCTCGGTTAGACAACAAGAATGCCTAGCGATCGCAAGGCATGATGGAATTATTGCATATTGTCATCTCGGAGACTGCTTTGGCCTAGATACAAAAATCCCGAAAAATGGTCCAATATTCAGTCCGGAAAAATATAAATCTCATTTTAGAGAAAGATGTTTTTACATCTTGTCTAGAGCGTGGGACAGGGAAATAAAATCTGAATCCCCTTGAGGAATTCGGATTCCGCACTCCGATGCTGTACTACTGAGCCACACAGGCTCCATGGTGAGTAAGGCCCATTACGAATTTCATATATGACACACATCCTGCATTCTGTTAGGATCAGTAATGCCGTTAGCGTAATGTTTTGTAAATAGAATAAGAAAGATGGTAAGTTTGAGTAGTTTGACTTTCTATAATCCCTAAAAATCTCGAAATTTTCTTCAAAAATCCCGATTTAACCCAAAATTTTTTTCCGAAAAAATCCCATAATTTGAATGAAACGCAAGATTCCTATGATAAAATCGCCTGGAAGCACCTTCAAACTAATTCAAAATTACAACTTTTTTTACTAGACAATGCAAGTGGTTCGTTAGCTTAGTCTCCTTGCATATTACTCTTCTAAACAATTAATAACGACAATAAACAGTTTGAATATGAAGGCGATCTTCGCAGTAATGAACACTTTCCGAGCAGTAGTGAAAATAAGGCCTGAAAAAAATTCAGGCCCGTACGGGATTTGAACCCATGACCTTTGCGATACCGGTGCAGTGCTCTACCAACTGAGCTAACAAGCCAACTGAGAGCTGGTCATTATGTTGGTTCCAAATAAACCCGTGAAGTGATGAAAGGTGAACAAACTCTAACTGTAAGATAAGACCGCCAAAAGGAATAAGAAATCATCAACTAGCTTATTACAATGTTTACTGAATGGTTTATGCTAATATATTATTTCTATTCATTTTCCAGCACCAATATAACAAACCCTTACGATGTTTCTAGATTAGACATATTACTATTTTTATCGTTTAATAAATATGTTTATGTGATAAGCTCAGTTATGCACGCATTCTGATTGGTTCTCACTTATGATCTATTGGAGGACAGACGCATAGATGACGTCATCATTAAAACTTTTGCCCTCTGTTATTTTAAAATGGCGGAAAGTTATGGAAATTTAGACGATATTTTAGCTGACCGGGTGAACGAAGATTTCGAAAACAGTTTTGTCGAGGCTGTGGACAGTTACGATAAACAGGAGAAAGAAAGAAAATCACGTTTCTCTGTCGAAAACGACTTGACAAAACTACTTGAGCAGTCGCAGTCGAACGCGACTAAACGAAACATGTTCGTAAGAACATCAGTGACACGCTCGGCTGCGCCTCGTGTGCCATTTTTTTGTTCTTACCACATTTTGACGTCATCTGTAATCTATTACTGAACAGACGCACGGCAACTTGGAATCTATTTGTTAAGCAGATTTGCTCTGAGCCAATTATGTAAAGAAATGTTACCTTCTCAATCGATTGGCGTTGCTTAACGGAGAATGGTTACCTGCAATTTCTCTCTTTCATTTGCACTGTTTTCCATCATTCCAAATACTATCCGCATAGAAAATGACATAATTGAATCAAATCTTCGCAAAAATGCTTGCGCCTATGGAGAGGGACATTGGAAGCTCACGACTAACCACATATATTTCTGATGTTTTTTGGATGCTGTTAACAAAAGGAACTCAAAATTAAATAAGCTAGTGCAACGTATCTTATCAACACCGTGACTCGCTCTTGATGATATTCGCTAACAACGTCTATTGGACTGCGCATGTCTACGTGCCAAAGACCATACCATAAACGTAGGACAGTTAGAATTCAACAAATACATGTACGAAAGGTAATCTAATTATTTTGTTATTGTCAAATCAAGGAAGGAAGGTGTCCTTAATTAGCTAGATATAAGCTATACGATAAGCTTAACTTTACACGCATTTTGATACAGCATTTTAAATTTTTCCATTGACAAAATTTTACTTCGTCATGTTGCCCTACGTCTGTGCAGTAATAAATCAGAGAAGAATCAGGTAAGACCGTTCGTGACACGCTCTACTGCGCCTCACGTGCCACCCTTTTGTTCTTACCACATTTTGATGTCATCTGTGATCTAAAATAATGAACAGACGCAAGGCAACGTAGAATCCATTTGTCGGTTAGAGAACTGGTGTAATGGTATCGAATCGTTTTTGCACTGAATATATTATACTTTTTTGTGACAGTATGAATTATGAAAGATACATTCCATCAAATAATTGATTGATTGATGAATTATTAACAATGGTACAATTACTTTCTCCCACATGGTATCCTCTCGAGAAAAAATATATCTCATAGAAGAACAGCTTAAAGTCGTTGATGATCCCTTGATTTGATGTATCATATCGCCTATATCAGGCTGATTAAATTTTCAAGTGTCTACGTTGCTGTGGCGCAGTTCACCGCTAATAACACTCTGAACTTGTTTAACAAATTGAAGAAACTCAGGTAACTTCGCAACGATGTCCTCAGCCCCCAATTTTCATTCTTTAATTGTTCGTCCCAGTCTTTTCAGCGTAGATGCAGAACGATCTGCAAAAAAAGACGGTTTTATCAGTAGGTTTACATGCTTAAAATAAAATGTGCCAACAAACGTTGAAAATCGAAACTTTTCTTGATTGGCCGAAATAGAAACTGCGATTACAGGTTGCTCGTGAAGGCAATTATTTATTTAATTACCAAAGTATTAAATTGTGAGTGTCTAATTCAATATGCGAGTATGTTAGTTACAATAATGATGACAATAATAATATTTATACTGTTTTTTTGCTCTTTTTCCTCTATATTGCAGAATAATGACATCTCCTTTGAAAGGATAACGAAAAATCCAGCTTGTGACGAACAAATATTTCCTTCGACAAAGTTTCCTCGGCAGGGAGATTTGGTTCATTTACTTCTTCATCTTCCGTGAACGTAAAAGTTAGTTTGGACAGATATAACACACAGCTTGTCTTTCATTTTCGTCAAGATCTGCTGCATAATTGGTAGAGACGGCATCAAGTATAAGAAAAACATTATTGTGATGTCTTCGGTCAAGTTAAACACACGAGACTTAAAAGCATATATCATCTACTGAAAAAGCAACATTTTATCTCAATCTGAGATGATCTGCATTTTTCTAATGGTATTTAAGTTTTATACGTTGTTGCATTAATTTCGATCAGAAGTTTGAAAAACATTTATAGTTTCTTACATTCATCCAGTACTTCCTTTATCTATTTTACTTATAGGTAGATTTATTGGCCAAGTAGCCAACTGGCAAATTTGACTCTGACACCTTCTTTAAATGCGGTTTTTCCAGTAATCCTGTCCTCCCTGAGTTTGAAATTTTTCGTTGCTTCTTCAATACTCCATTGTTCTTCAACTAAAACCTCCGCTGTAATCAGTCAAGTGTTTTATATTTTTACTAATGCAGGTCTAGCCGGAGTCAATTTCAGATCTTAATGATAAGGACGCCACATGTGATTCTTGGGTTAATTTTGTCATTATTCTTATCATCATTTAGATTAGTGAGAAGCTAGACAATAGTTACAATAGGTGCAATAGACTTTATGACAATTTATTAATGTTTATCACATATTTATTCATGTTGAATGAATACTTTCAAACAGAAGAGTCAATACTCATAATAAAGAAAAATCATAATCAATAAGTTTACCTTCATCAGGTCCGCGGATCACTACTTTTCCGAAATTACGCTACATGTTGGCCTTCGACCCCTTTACCGTTTTAATTCTGCGCAGAGATTGCAAAGCATTTTCTCAAATCGTATGCCATGCTATCAACGCAACTTGATTCCTTATGCAGAGGAAACAGAGGAAAACTTTTACTGATTTTCCCTTATAATTGAGAACTATTCACCAAAGTGGAAGTGGCTAGTGGGAGAAATTTACCTCGTCGCTTCGAGGCTCGATAAATATCCACCGAGGCGAATAATTGTTTTAGTACATGCTAAAATACTGAGATAAAATAACACAAAAAGATGATTGTAACTCACCCATTCCTACAACAATTACGAAATTTTCGGGCGCAAATCCCGCGCGAGTTGCTCGGCGGTGAATAGCAAAGGAATATCCAGAGTTTGAGTAGCAAATCAGAGTACACCTTCAACGCTATCCACTCTTTTAGTATATACTTATAGTCTTTAGCGGCCCTCTCTTCCCCACAACCCATAATGGAATCTCTTCTTTCATATGCCGCAGTTTCTAAGCAACAGCGAGAACATCCTTTCGCAGACGCATAACTAGTTGACACTTGACTCACTGCCTGACTTTGTATTATCTACCTAATACAAACCGTACAACTGAGTAATAAAGGGTCTCCCTCTAAAAGTTTTATACACTTCTGCTGCGAGTTTAAGGGGATCTATGCCATCGTAATGTTCATAAGCGTGGGGGCAAATGCAAAACCACTGGAAGATTCTGATTCTGAAATGTACGCTTTACTATTTTCTTGAAAAGAACTCCCTTCACCGATCCACTATTGTCGCTGCCACTATCTACTAATACAGTACTGATCTTGTGATCATGGTTTAAATCCCAAATAACATTTGTCGAAAGATCACGGGATCTATTCTTTAAGTACTAAATCTCACAACAGAAAGGAGACAGTAGATTACTGTTGCCCATGATGCATGCCAAATACCGCGAACGGAATAAAGCTGGGGTATCATAAACCCATGTGCACTTTCCTTTTGACACCTCTTAGTGACAGGAAATTCGATTGTGTTATTCAAAGCCGTCATTTTCGAGAAAATCGAGCTTTAAAGCAACCGGAGAAACTTTCGCCATCGCCGATGATATGCCCGGATGTTAAACGATTAATTCGAACCTTGTGCCCAGGGGTTTCTCGGTCAGTTTTCAAGACGGAGGGGAAGGGCAAAAGAAACCTTCAAAACACACCTCTCAAAAACGACTGCCGATTGGTGCCTTTCTTGTGTGACATTTCATTAGTTTAATTCGTTCAATTATGAATTAGCCTTTGCTATTTAGATGACCCCAACTCCCTCACTATCTAGGTTTTAGAGTAGCTATTTTTTTCTTATTTCAAAGGAGGTTTTGAAATTCTTGTCTGCATATTACTAATTTGTATTTGTTGTAGACTGAACTGAGTTGAAGTCGCAAGTCTCCCTACTAAAAAATATGACTGCTGACGATTTGATGAAAATGTGTCCGTCAAGAACATTTGATGGTTTGTAAAAAAATAAATAATTATTACATGAATAGAAATGAGTCTTAAAATATGACAAATTACAAAATAGAACTGAGCCCTCGAGACAAACATATTTTGTCTATTGTCAAAAAATTGTATTGTAATTCTTCCAGCCCTAAATAAACCAAAACAACAACAAAAAAACGAAAACCTAACAAACATAGAAATTAAATACAACTTGTGCCTTACGCTTTGTTTCGTAAATCTGACTCTGAAATAAAGTGGAGGCATTCCTCATGCTACAATTTCCTTTTTGATGTTGTGTGAAGAAGCTGACTACGCGTCCATGAGAACAGAATGGACATAAGAAACACTTCACACCTAATAGATTTCACCCATAATAACTTACACCACACGTAGTCTATCATCAAGGTTCGCTAGCTGTAAAAAGCTTAGATTTAGGCCATGTCATCCGTATCGATATCCGTTTCCTTTCGGTATAATAATCTCAATCACAGAAGAGCGGCAGTGGAGAAACACAAGGAGGCCTTGATACGGGAAAATGTAAAATCTGGTGAGGCAATTATTAAAATTTAGACGGCGCTAGACGAGGAAATTGTCATCTATACCGTAAAGAGAATTTTAATGCAAGTCTTGGAATTGAACCTGAGGAGACCCGAGGTACTTTGTGTAGATTCAACGAGATATCTAATATGTTCAGGCGAATTCGTTTGCAGCATAAATGGCACCAAGTACGCTTGTTGCACATATCATGCGCTTATTGTACCGGACGCAACAAGCTGAATGTCTCTAAAATCGCTTCAGGTTTTTGTGCGTTTTTATCAGAGTAATCAAAGGACTCCAAGCTTGTTTAAGGTGTTTTTCTCTATAACGATCCCCTCTGTTTTGAGTTCTTCTCCTAAATTAGCGGCTTCTAATCGAGGGCGGCATTTAACGGAGTAAAATTTGCAATCCATTCAATTACTTGATGGTTGAGTCAGTTGCTTCCGTCAAAGCGGAAGACAACTACCGGTTTCAAAGAATGTCGGCAATGATAGGCAGCCCACAGTCTTTCAAAACGTCATAAAGATCTCCAACAGTTATGAGATATTTTTCTCTAGCGAAAATCAAAACTTCCAACACTTGGTTCATTGTGCGCTTGTCCAAAAAACGTATCTCCGCAGGGGTCAGTCCCAGTTTCTCTGCAAATAGCTCCCAATCGTCTCGACCTACAAAAATAAGCATCGAAGTATGTTCAAAACAAATTGCTATCTGCCCTCGACCTTTTCCCTTGCAAATTTCTGCTCAATATTTTAAAACACCTGGCTAATGTTTCCGATGCGAGAACATTACTGAACATTTTGTTTTCGTTAAGCACTTTTTTTTCGCATGAGACAGATTAGTCATTAAAAAAAGCAACACAAAGGTGAGTGCGACTTTTCGTTTTTCTGTGCTCTATTTCTCACCCCTCGCCCGTCCTGCCCAGTCCTTTTTTATGACTTTTCCTTTTCTTTCTTTTTCAGTCATCTTAATTGTTACTAATATGAAAAAAATCATTTGAGTGAAGGATAGGTCCACTAGATCCAATAAAAAGACGTTGCTCACAGGCTCCTCAGTGAGGAGGATATCTTCCATCCAGAGAAGGTGGAAGGGTATAGGAATTATTTCCGGGAATATGAAGATAATGGTGAGGAGAGTGTAAATGTGTGAGTGAGTGAGCGAGTGAGGTAAATAAGTCAGTAGAGGAGAGAAGGAAACGAAGGAAGGAAGGAAGGAAAAGGAGTTTTATTTAAATGCTTATGATTTGAAACACTCATCTGGCTTATTATGTAAAAATATCTTAATTCTTTGCTACAAAGCCTCACCACTGAGGTCAATTGTCAACTCTTTCAGCTGAGTGTTTGGAATATTTTGGACAGGGAGTGTGTCAGGCAGCATTGGACCTGGAATAAAGAACAGCAGTATTTATGAAAAGTACATTTCAAATGCAGATCGCGGGCTGGTGGTCTGAAACTAAACTTAGAGGGTCTCAGTGGAGTTATCAGTTGGCCGTGAATCAGCCGTAAGGTGGAGAATTGGCCGCTCTTAACCGCTTACAAGAGATAATAACCTGTTTATTTTCTCTTGCCTTTAATAATTAAAAAAGGTTAACCTTAAAATATGTTTACTTTACCGAAGCGGAAAAAAAGTTAACTGTTAGCCGTAAATTTTTTTCCGAAATTTTAACAGCAAGCCGTAAAGGTCATCACCCCATCGACACCCTCAACTTACAGATGTGCGTTTAACTTTCTCAGCAGTTTTGAAAGTTTTGGTTGAAATTTCAAGTGGCGAAGTTATTTCTCTTTATTACGTGCAAAAAGAAATCAAAACCGTTTTCTGGATATGTTCTATCCAATTTTCGTTTAGAATGAACGACTTTTTCAGGCTTTTCTTGTGTCTTAATTCCCTACGAAAACGTGTTTCAGAACCACTCACCATCCCAGCTTGCTTACCTGCTGTCCCTGCTGGCATGATTTCTCTTAAAAACTTAACAACGTCAGTCCTGCCATGATTTTTAGCGTCCCTCGTGAGGCAACGGATCCATTTCTCAGTTTCAGGTTTTGGATCTTTCAGTGAGGTATCATCAAGTTGTAGATTGTGAAGCAATTTATCTACAACCTCTTTTGGGGCGTCTGATGTTAACTGGAGAGATTCGCTAACTTTGTGAGGCAAAACGAGAGATTTGTATCCATTCCCTAAAATATCGAAAAACAGCGTCAGCGATAGACAAAATGAGCCACAAAAAATAAATCTAACATTATCCTGTCCACTGTGAAAACAGGTTTTGCCTTAACAAATAAACGGACGGACGGGAACAACTCTAAAAAACTCCTTCTGGGTAAAGGCTTTCCTTGGGGGCACTCGCTGGCTGCGGGAAGGACCGGAATCTATTATGGCTGCTGACTATCCTTGAGACAATGACTAACAACAACAGGGTTGGCTCCAACGTAGATTTATTCTGCAAGCTCTACTACAATTTTGACCAGAACTGACCTGGCCAGAGCTGGTTTGACCCCCTCTCTCTTTTCTCTCGTTTCGTCTCTCTCTTCTTTAAGCTTTACAAAACAGTTCTATTTAAGCCTAACGTACATGGATAACGTAATGCCATGAATAATCTAAAGAATCATGTAATCTACTACACTATTGGCTAAGTAGGAATTTCGCCTTTTACAACATTAATTACCTTCAAAGAGTTCCAGTGGATAACAATTACACAAAAGGACATGACAGGTGGCTGTTACAGTTTAACACTAATAACAACTGTTTACGGGTGGCTGAAGGAGAACTGGTAGCGTCTACGCTTTGCTGAACTTAGCTTTCTACGTTGAATTTTATATATTTTAAGCGCTAGCATGAAAGAACTCGATAAATAAAAAATCCTATCGTTACACCACGACCGGAAAAGTTAATGAACTTGGGGGGAAAAGGGGCAACCTGATACAGAGATGGAATGAACACTATGAATGATCGGCAACGGGGGTAATGCACGTTTCACCAAACTTAAAATCAACCAAAATCAAACAACCAAAATGGTAAAGAAAAAAAACCAAGTTACCTTGTGAAAAAGGAACCTGCTTCCCGTCGCTCTCCTGAGAAGCATCTCGAAGTGAATGGGCAGCATTTAGGTGATTTCCAGCGGATATCTGAATTTGGCAATTTCCTGCAAGAGTGTTGCAAGTGAAGGCGTTATGCTGACTAACGGCTCCCATTAAGTTAATGGAAGTACCTTCGAATGCGCTGATGATGAATTAAATTTATAACCGAAAAAAGATCAATGGACACGAACTTTGTGCAAAAGGAACCAGTTTTCCGTGTTGGAGAGTCGTGGAAGTGTGATCTAAGATGCTGAATCTCTCATCCGAAAATAGGATGCGACATTGATGAGGATTTTTTAAATGTGTGAAAATGTGACACGTCTTATCACTGACCAAGTGCTCACGCACACGTGTAGATAAATGCCGAGAGGTTTCGCCACATAGCAAGCATTACAGCCCACTCATAAAAACTTGTAAACCACACACTTACGGGGCCCATTACCTATTTTAAAAGATGAAAAAACCAACATAACATCTTTGTTGCGTGACAACGGGAAAAGGACCAATTTAAGGTAATTTGAAATAAAAGGTCGGCGTAGTATTTGAAACGGAAACCGGCGGATTTTATTCATTGCGGGTCAGCGCGAGGTACCGATTGACAACCCTTTCAACTCGATGGGCTGGAAAAAGATTCTTTTTAAGGATTTCAGTAAGTGTCTTGATGTCTTAGCGGAAACCCAACCATGTGTGGTTGATCTTGAGGGCTCTAGCGACAAGAGTGCGAATGAGACCCAGTTTATGAGAATAAGATATAAAGCTAAAATAATTAGTCAACAGGCCCGCGAAGGTTTTCTTAAGGTAAACACTTGTCACAGGAAAATGTTGATTAAAGCATCTAGGAATAGTATGTTATGATCTATTTCTTTTTCCTTAGTGAACCTAATGTTGGGGTGCCTGGAGTTTATGTCATTGAAAAATAATAGCGCATCTTTTTCCTAATGAAATAAACAAAATGTATCGTAAACATAACGGCGGTAAAATAATACCTCTTGGCCTTGCCAATTTTCTAAACATAACTTATTATGTCCCGTGATTAGCTGTGTTGTGATTTGTGAGCCTGTGGGATAGATACTGCTTAAAAGCCTTTTCTCCGTAGCCACAGCTCAGATCCATTTCTTATTTAAAGGGTCTTTCTACGTCCGGATAGATAGTGTAACTATGGGCTCCCCCTCCCTCCTTGTACTTTGTACAAATCAGAACTGAAGATGACAGACGAACTGTCAAAACATGTTTTTAAAAAATGTCGCATATTTTCTTAAATTCGTAACACTCAAGTGCTTTTCGTTGGGTGGCAACTACTACAGAAAAAGAAATAGCGTATCTAGGGGGACTAAAATGGGACCCAGCTACGCCAATCTTTTCGTAGGTTTATCGAACACCAATTTTTCAGTCAATACCACGGCCCTAAACCTAAACTCTAAGGTCGTTACATTGACGACTGCATCGGCGCTACCTCCTCTACCAGAGAGGAGCTCACTTAATTTATAATCGCCGTCAATGCCATTCAGTCGACTCTGAAATATACCTGGGACATTTCCGACACTTCTTTGGCTCTTCTAGACATCAAAATTTCAATTGGAGGCAACGGTCTATGGACTAGTGTTTACTACAAACCTACAGATTCATACTGTTACTTGTATTCATCTTCGCATCCATCACACGCCAAGAATTCCATACCCTTTTCATAGCTCTCTAGTGGGTTAATGGAAAGCTGCATTCGGGCATACTGTGAGTAAACGGGCTTATCAAAGATTATTAGATTAAAACAATTTTATTTACAAGAAACAAAAAAATTTGGAAACTAGCCTGTTGAGAAAGGATCTAGCATCCTTTCCACCTCACTGCTGGCAGGTGGTTGTGGCTGAAGAGCTGTTACAACTTCGGAAAGTAACTCAGTTGACATCTCCTCTTCTCCATCTAAGACACAAATTACATATGAATAAATACAAATTAATATACGAGTGATTTAGCGAAGCATGTAGATACCGAACAACACAAGGGAGCGCAGAAAGTAACATCAATGATAAAGGAGACAGATTGATGCATCGAAGGCAATTAAGATACAAAAACAGTGGCTTACTTTTCACGATGGATAGAAGGGTCTCATCACGTTGATAAGTCACCACCTGCAGGTGAATCAGGTGAGTCGTTAAAAGTAACGATTGGTATTTTAAAGGAATTATGCGAAATGAGCATGAATAAATCTAGGCGAAGAATAGCTCAAGACATTTAGTTAATCTTGTATCTCGTGTGAAACAAACATCAACTAATTTTCTAAGAACCAGCTATTTCTCCAAGAGTCACTTGAAAATTTAAATACTAGTTTGTTTCGAAGTTTTGCCGTCCAAACCTGATAGTTATTATACATAATAACTATTTCTTTCTTTAGGCTGGAAAAAGTACGCATGTCAGGTTTTGAATTACGATTAAACCTTACAATCTAATTGCCCTCAAGATAATTCTGGCCATAAATGTAAAAGATAAGGGAACTATCTTTCTGACCTTTTCCTCGCTGGGAGAAATCCAGAGAGAAAATTCCTCGGCCTGAATTCGGTTATCCCGAGCGGTTGCAGATTTTGTGCAAAAGACCTGTTCCTTTTTATTTCCTAAATCTGACTCTGAAATGAAGTGGAGGCATTCCTCTTTCTTACAATGTTCTTCATTATGTTGTGTGCAGAAGCTGACCACGCGTCCATGTGAACAGATCGGACATAGGAAACATACCTTACATGCAACATTCTTCACCCAGAAGAACTTGTTCCTAACGCGATCTATCATCAAAGTTAGCTGGCCACGAAAGTCTTTAATTAAGTCAACATCAGACATACCAATTTCACTATTTGCGTTGAGGACAATGACCTCAATTGCAGAGGAATGGCAAAGGAGAGCAATCGAGAGGCCTTGGTTTGGGAAGATGTGAAATCTAGCAAAATTGTTATAAAATTGGGGAAAAGCTACGGTAGGAAATGTTTTTCTACTCCAAAGAAAGAATTCCAGCACAAATCTGGGAAATAAACCTAGGGGGACCTGACCTGTATCAAATTTAAGAAAAAGGGATGGAAGTTTTGCAGATTCAACGAGGTGACTAATCATTTTTGGCGGGTGCGTCTGCGTCATAGATGGCACCAGATAATACTTGTTGCACGAGTCTTGTGACGATGGCCAAGGACACAACAAGCTGAATTTCTCCATTATTGCGATAAGGCTTTCGTGAGTTTCTGTCTCAGGGATCAAAGAATTCCACACATGTTTTAGGAGCTTTTCTTCCAGGATTCCCTCTTTTTCCAGTTTGAGCCAAAGACCATCAAAGTCTTCCTCTTTCGAGTTGTAGGGCCTGACAGTTATTACATTCTTGAATATATCAATCAACCATTGGGTATCCAAGATAACTAAATCACTCAATTCCGGAGTGTCATCGAAGTGGATCAAAACTCGCAGATCGTGCAAAAAGTTTAACAATGTTAATATCTCATCGTTTTTGTTTATGTTGCAAACGTCGGAAGCAATCTTTTTCGCGGTTGCGAGGGAGATGAATTTTCGACCAGTTTCCTTGATCACACGAAGGGCATTTTCGTATTTCAACCACTTGATCGGAATAGCCTCATTTACATGTGGTAACTCCTTAGCAAATTCATGAACCTTCTCTCGCAATCGCATGATCTCTTGACATTTTGATTCAGAGCCTGACTTGGTGTTATCAACACAAAACACGTCAAACAACTGGCAACCATATGGTTTGGTTTTCAAATCACCAAAAATTTCTTTGGCAAGTGCAAAAGGATCGCGATTACAATATGGTTTGTCAGCATGAGTGCACACCAAGAAAACAACTGGAGGATTCTTTGGAAGCACCTTCCTGGCGGGGCTCACGTGTGGGCGATTACTCTGTTCCACTAAGGAGGCCAAAGAACTCATCCAAAACTCTAAGTAATCCAAATTCGTTTTCAGATTATATTTATCTTCAATTTTTCCATAAACTCCTTGCTTCACCGGGGGTATAGCTTTGTCGCTTGGATTCCTACTTAAGTCATAGACCAAAAAGTAGATGGCTCTTCTTGTGAGAAAGAGTGGGTGTGTCACGTAATACACAGACTGTCCAGCAAAGTCCCACGTAATTGAGTAAATATCCTCTCTATCGCCTTGCAACTCATCTTGAAGGATCTGTTGAATTAACTTGGCAATGTCTTCAAATTCCGGCATTTTTCCAAACGTGCTGTTGAGTACATCTTCATCGTGCTTCGTTGGAGGTAGATTATGTTCTTCTCTCGTTGGTAAAGAAGGTTCCTCGTGCGAAAAATGAGTGTATGCTGGATTTTTAGGCAACTCTGAAGGGTCTCTGTAACTTGTAATCTTACTGAGGTATCCTCCCTCTAAGGTGTTAATTTCTTCAAAGTCATAATGTTCTGACATGGTACTACCTGCTTCTGTAGCTTCAGTAACGTTTTCTTTCGCCGTTAATTTATCTGCAATCCACCGAGCTGCATTATGCTCAAAAGAGATTGATGCCTCATCAACTTTTTCGCCTCGGTCCGTTGTCATCCCTATTTCAGTGGTTACTTTGAATTCATAGGTATCGACATCGATGCCCACGGTGCTATCCTCGTCCGGGTTGAAACAAATTCCTTTCAAGGACTTCTTCACGCTAGTCTTTCCTGACCGATCTTGTCCAACTAACATCAATGGTACTCTCTTCACACAAGTTTGACCTTCGGCCAGTGCACTGTTGTAGGCTTCTAAAGCTTGAGGACCACGAGCGCGAATCTCTGGAGGAACTGTAAATGTGACGCACATTATTTAATCTCAATAATCAAGATCGAATTAAAAGGGAATCAAACAAACAAGGAATAGGTGACATGTAAATAAACAAAACTGATTAAACAACCAATCAATCGAGTTTTATTTTTAACGCAAACAGGGTATATCTCTTCTAATACAAAAAATCGATCAGGTGAGGGGAAGAAATTAAAATTTGACAACTTTGTAAACAGGCATGTAGGCATGTTCCCAGCGCATTTTTACTTAAATTGGCAATATTTATAGAAAACATATCCATTTTTAAAGCGTTCTTCATCAATACCACTTAACCTCTAATAAATTGGCCACGTTAAATGTATCCGACGTTAGAAGAAGAAGAAAATGCGGTAGGGATAACAACTCATGCCGATTTATTACAAGTAAACAAAGGATGGGTTTTCTCACCTGTTCTTGTGGATCCATTTCCTTTCATCTCCCGTACAAATAAGTCTTGAATTTCCTTTACAAATTGAATAAATTCGGGCAATTTCTGAACTATGATTTCCGGTTGCCAATCTGTGCCATTTAGAAGTTTGTCGCACTCTTCGCTATGTAAGTGGAGGTCAGTCTGCCCATTTCCACAAGAAAAAGAGAAAATTAGAAAGACTAGAAATTGAGTTGTTTTGCTCAACATACCGATGATTTCTTATACAACTATGCGATTTGCAACCGTTAAACATTCATTATTTTCTTCACAAGAAAAAAGAGAAAATTAGAAAGACTAGAAATTAAGTTGTTTTGCTCAACATACCGATCGTTTTTTATACAACTATGCGATTTGCAACCGTTAAACATTCATTATTTTCTTCACAAGAAAAAAGAGAAAATTAGAAAGACTAGAAATTAAGTTGTTTTGCTCAACATACCGATCGTTTTTTATACAACTATGCGATTTGCAACCGTTAAACATTCATTATTACCGATTCTCTGCTTCTTTCGTTCCCTAAGGAGTCAATGGACCATGAATCCTCCTGAGAAAGTATGGCAAAGAATCCTTCACGCGTGCTGTATAGTTTTCGCTTGCAACATCGCTTACGGAGTAGGTGGAATCCTTCAGGCAAATAGTGATCTGGAAGAAGTAATCCGAAGGCATCCTTATCTTTCAAAGTTAGTCGAGAAAGGTATGTAGACAAAGCACGTATCACTTCGATTTCGGGTACGTCTCCTCTGATAGCAGTACGATCTGTAGCCAGACAAATTTGACATAAAAGTGTGAACAGGAATCAATGAAATTGACCTATTTTAGTCAAATATTTATATTGAACGGATGCATATTTAAATCCCATAAACTGTGCTGCAAACGCTTCAGTAATTATTTAGCACTTGGACTTGGGTATCCATCGGGGTAAAGGGACCCTTCAGCCAGAATAGGCAGAGACTTTACTGTCCAACTAAAAGTGGTATTTGAAAAAGACAGATTTGAACGGTAAGTAAAAAGAGAAGTTCTTACTCTTTCTTCTCCAAGAGAAACTAAGCAACAGAAGTGATGGAACATGACACGTGACCGCCAAACACATTTCGCTAAATTTAAAAGTTTTACTGAGAATTTAGTCGTGGATGGATGAGAAGGGAGAGGAGAGAAGGAGGGAGGCAGTAAGTGAAAAATGAAAAATGAAACGAGAAGTGTGTTTTACAACGACAAAAACCAAACAAAAATTGTTAGTCTTACCTCTTCGCTCACGTATGGTGAACCTGCAGTCTAGCTCGCAGCCGGGGAAAAGAATGTCGGTCTGAAAATATTTTCGAGATTTGAGTACCAGCCATCCACGACAACGTGATTGCGTCGTTTCATCTTCAAATTGAATCTCTTCCAATACATTCTTCACGTCACTAAAAGGGATTGGTATATCTTCAAGCTTTTTCTTTACGCTACTCTTCGCCACCCACACCTGTTTAATAAGGAAGAAAAACACAGAACTTGAAGCATAAGCCTCTACCTGGATGGTATTCCTAACATTGTGAGTTCACTTTTCGGCAAACGACGCACTTTGGAAGAGTTTATGTAAGTCGACAAAACGGAGCGAAACTTCAACAAAGGGGAATTTCTTCTTTGATATACGTGTGCCACGGAGGGGAAATCAAAGGAATTAAAAGCAAACAACATTCAAAGTGAAAAGGAAACAGACGAGCGTAACACACTCGTCGGTTGTAAAGAGGAAGAAATTTTTCGCGCTCACCTTACATATAAGTTGATAAAAACAAGGCGTCAAATATGTTAGGTCATATCTGGAGACGTATTCATTATCTTCAGTGATCTCTTTGAGGCCAGTTCTTTTAAAGATGTCCTCAGGAATGTCATCTCGCTCTCTAAATGAAACTTTCCAAAGCATTTTTTCTCCAGCATCAGGCCTTTGAAAATTTTCTGTTATCTCTTCGACGTCCCATGTTTTTTGGACAACATTCTCTGTAAAAAAAAAAAAAAAAAGGAAGAGAACTATAAATATATAAATATGCTGAAAAATGCTCAGATTGTACCTCTCAAAGAGGTACGTCAGGTTAGCGAGCAAGGTGAATTATGACTTAGAACAGTTTTTTATGCGAGGCTAAGTACAAGAAGGTAAAAGAGGCGATGAAATACCTTGGAGAGGAAAAAGGAGAAACAGCGAAGATCCACAAGAAAAAGAATATGAAAAGGGCACAAAAGTTTTCAACGAGTAAGAGACTTTGTCAATTATTATTCATTGATGCAAAATATTCAAACCAGAATGGATATTACCTTCATCAGGTACTCTAATAATACAAGTTCCCAGATGACACCACATATCAGCCTTCGGACTCTCATCTGTCTCTCTGTTCTCTTTAATCTTCCGTAATGACATCAAAACTTCGTCTTTAAGATTGGATTGGTACACGGGGTCATTCCGATCATGGTACGAATTCTGCACAGATACTCATATAAGTACTGTATAAAGATTGCCATAGAATTCTAGTTCTCGAGTCAAAAATTGAGTGTCAACTAAAAGCAGATGAGCTTATAACGAAACTTGACAAATATATAGAGAATATTTTTGTCAAAAGCGACGAATGGTTAAAACATCTACGTCACCCGTAAGTATTCCAATCACAGACAACCTAATTTTGCGGTTGTCAAAAAATGCTTGATCACGGTGTGTACGAGCTTCAGTTCTTGTTTATTTTAACAAACAAGGTCCGTCACTGTGGAAATGCAACTTGAAACCTAGCTAAATTTGTCGCAGGCCTATGTTTTCGACTGCGCTGTCTTTTCAAAAGCATGATTACGACGCAACTCAATGCATTCCAAAATTCTTGTTCATCACCATATTACACAAAAAGAAGAATGTGTCAACTCGTATCCATTACCATAGCAAAAGGAAACCAAGAAGAATACCTCTCTTTCACAGTACTCAGCTGGTTCGAGTCGATATTGCGTTTGAAGCCCTGGTAGCGGCATGCGATCCTCTTCTTGCACCTCCTCAAGCTTAAGTTTACAGTTCTCAGGAAGATGACGACCATCGACGTAAGAACAAGCTTTGCAAAATTCTTTTTCAAAATCCTTTAGTCTTGCTCCAGCCTGGAAGTTTGAAAGGCAACGTAATCAAAAGAAAGATGGTTTTATCGTACACAACACATCACCAATTACCGGTTAAGCCACACAAGTCTGGTAATCAGGTCGCAATTGTTCTCTGGCAATTTAAAATGACCAAATCTCAAGAAATTAAGCAACAGAGGCTATTAAAGACTCTACTAAGTAAGTAAGCCACAATTTTCAGAGGGATTGCGATGGGACAGGTCGACTAAACTAACCAAATACCAATGATACCACAGAAGAGTTTGAAAGATATCTCGTTAATAGTAACGTGATGATTATCTATCAAGAAAGCCAGACTTCCTTGTGCAATATCCAGTCTTCCTGTCGGCTGGGTGTGGGTAGCTACTATCAAAAAATGTATGTATCTATACAACGTACATTTGTGTTATCTTTATAAATTTGTTGTACCTGATCTGAGAAAATCAATAGTGCAACGCTCTCTTTCTGTTTAAATCTTATCTAACTAGATCTGAATTTTAGCGATCAAAAAAGGGATAGTCTCGATCAAGTATGAGTATCCTTTACACGCACAGAAAATATTTCCAACAGTTATCTCGCTCTGTGATTAAGGGTCAATTTGTAAATTTAAACGTACCACAATTGTTCCAATGTTCCTTTTCGCATGTCGCCGTTGCTGTTGTGTTCTATAGACTATGTATACTTCTCCATCCTCCACGAAAAGTTTTACCCCTGTTTGGGTCTCTATCTTGCGTAAAGTACAACTTTGTTTTCCAGCCACTCTACCTTTGTATCTGTCCGGAATTTCTACCAGTTCTCCCTTTCTATTATCCAACTATTAAAAGGAACTGATGGTCAATTAAGTCCCCATGTTATACATTAAAAGAGTTTTGAATAAGCAATTCTACTGTTGGCATACATCATTTACGTTTTAATGTTTGACGGGTGCATGTGTCTCTCCGAACACTGAGGGTGAAAATGAGGGTGTTTTAACACAAGCAAAGCAAGTCTTAAAAGACTTGCAGGTAATTTAGTGTTAACAACTGGGTTGAAAACGTAAATTAGCCACCGTAAAGAGTAAAAAAGCTGACGTTTCGAGCGTTAGCCCTTTGTCAATCGCTCTGACGAAGGGCTAACGCTCGAAACGTCAGCTTTTTTACTCTTTACGGTGGCTTATTTACGTTTTCAACCCATTTGTTAACACTAAATTACCTGCTATACTCTCCCACCGACGCAGCACCACAGTTTCTTTAGAAAATTACCCCTTTACTTAAAAGACTTGCTTTGCTTTTATCAGTATCTTTTAAAACCCTGAGTAAATGAGTCTCCCGCAAAAGAATATAGCTTAAGTCTTAAAGTTTACCAAATTTGTAACTAACCAATTTTTCTGAAATAGGCTGACTTGCTATTTCTTGTTCCTCCGGGCGTCTAATGGCTGTAAACCCTGCAACAAATCTGCTCTCATTGGTGACTTCAGATCTCGTCATCATATCACTTATAATAATTCGATTCCTGCTGGTACAAACTCCCATTCCATTGCCCAGGTCTGTACCTGCTTGGTTTTAACTAGATATGAATGAAAAGAACCAAGCAGCTGTATTAAAATAAAATCATCGCCTCCTTTTGTTAAGGTCAATACATTTTTTTGCCTAGTGTTTAAGTCTTTCCCACCTGGTCATCATCATGGCGTTTTATTTGTCTTTTTTTGCTGATCTGTACTACCTCTACAAATAAATTATTTGAATGATTATTTTCATTCTCACTATCTTATCTTTTGACCTTTAAATTTTTTATTACGTATTAGAACACTACATACCACAATACTATCACCCTGCTACACAAAAATACTATTAGTTTTCAAATTTTATTGCGACATCCAAGGCTCGCATTTGATTGGCTATCTGTGAGTTCCTTTGATTATTGACCAATCAAAATGTCTGGTTTGTTACTTTCTTTGCACTGAATTAACCCTCTTCTGCACTGAATTAACCCTCTTCTGTACTGAATTAACTCTCTTCTGCACTGAATTACCTGAAAACTGCATTTATCTTAACCAATCAGAACTGAGTAATTTTTTCATGTATATTATTAAAAAGAAAACAATAAGAAACAGCGAACTTACAATTTCCATTGTCTCATAATATGAAAGAAACGTTTTTGTTATTGCGAGGTTTGATCGTGAAGTGTACTTGTACTCAATTCTCGATACTAACATTGCGCGATTTTGCGAATGCTTTACATTTCTAATCACTAAAATTAGCGCCTTTGAGCGAGGCGCTTTAGTTTGCGTTAAGGTGACCCTGATTTAAATGACGTCAAATTCCACAAAAACACATTGGCTGGACTCGTAGCGGGGCTCGCAGCGTAGTAGTAACCCATCAAGCCCAGAAAATTTTGTTTGGTGTTAGACCCAATCTCAAGCTCAGGGTGAGAATGGTTTAATTCAATGTTTTCGTTGATGGGAACACATCAAACTCCAAACAAGAAGTGTGATTTACGGTAGGGATCGATCGCGCCGGAAATAGAGCATTAACAACGATAAATTTGAATTATATTTATTGTTGTTACTGTTGTTGCTTTTGTTTTTTTTGCTTGGAAGTTTTCACTTGTAAACTGCCTTACAGTCGATGCATCAGAAAACATCCAACCAAAGCTGCTGCGTGCTGCAATGGCGGGAAACTGATCTTCACGGAACGATGGATTGCTGTCGTTGTCGTCAAAGACGTACAAGTATTACTAAATCATTAAATAAATTTGTTTTGAGTGAAAGCAGAAAAGAAGGCTTTAAAGAGGCCGTGCAAGCGTACGGAAATGTATTAGAGGGTCTCAATGGGGTTAACCGTTAGCCGTAAAACGGCCAAAATATTTAGCCGTTGGACGTAAAAATTGACAAATTTTAACCGTTAGTCGTAAAAAAAGTTAACCATAAAAAATATGTCTGGTGGAAACAATGGAAAGGTGTTAACCGTTAGCCGGAAATTGGCCAAAATTTTAACCAATAGCCGTAAAAGCCATCACCTCATTGAGACCCTCGCATTAGTGTAAAAGAATTCGACATCGGAATAGCATAGTATTCAGTATAAAAGCAGAAATAGAGAAGCCTAAATATGTAAGGAAATCGCGGTTCTGTTCTCAAGAAAACAGAAATGAGGTCTGTCGCCATCCAAAGCCCTTCTCAGGCCACAGTTTCACTATCCGCTTTACCGCAAGTAAACCACTAAAAAGATCCATTATACCCACGTCTCGGGTACTCCGAGAAGACACCCCTGATGGATACACAAAGATAATCCTTTGATATTTATCTAAGAATCTTGCAACACATTAACTCCTCCTTTTCTATCACCTATACTTCAACCCTTTAACTCCTAAGAGTGACTGGCATCTAATTTCTCTTTACAATGTCACTCATAAATCAAACATTAAGGTCATGAGAATAAGGGAAATGATCAACAACTAGAGAACTCTTCTCTGTTATGCAAATTCTCCTTTCCAGAACCTTAAGAAATGTATAGAGAACAGTATGGAGAATATGCATATTGATGTTCAGGTGTAAACGGTTGAAACTAATTTAACCAAGCAATCAACAGGGATTGAAATACTTGAGAAGGCTGACCATAGAAATCCTGAGGTCCTCAAGTTTGAGGGTGTTATATGATGCTACATTTACAACTGGTTAGTCATAAACATGTGTGTCATTCAAAACTCCACGTCAATATGTTTTTGTCCAATTTACTATAATCAGAAGCATTCAATAGAGTTTAATTCATTCACAATGAAATATTTACCAATATATGGAGAGTTACATTCTGTTTTATATTTTATTGACAGAATATGCAAATACGGAATTAAAAAAGGATGAAGTACATATGCCATGGATTGCATTGCAGACAAGCCTTCAGGCTACAAAAGCAAAAATTACTATGCTGTTAACTACTTGAAGAGTCAAAGCTTGTGCCAAAAATCAGTTTCTAGAGGAGATTGATGAACAGTGCAGAAGCCTATGTGTATAGAAACCTTAAACTGCTGACTTAAAAAACAACGAACCTCTAGCTTAATTTAGCAAACTGAATCGTGTAAAAGAAAGGAGCTATATTAAATTAAACTCAAAGCTTGTGATGTTTTCAAGGTTCAAATTACATAATATGTTTCTCTTTTTCTCTTGATCTTTAGCCGGGAGGGATGAGGGTATTTGATTCATATGCATGTGTTTTCAAGAAATAGAATGTTGCGCGATATAATACATCAAGTAAAAATTTTTATTTTGGTCTAGTAAAACTATTTTGGAACAAGTACATAGTACAATAGTTGTAAAATAGGTTTATTCTCACTTGAAATAATGACAATTTAAAATACATTTCAAAGGGACAAAAGACAATTTGTCAAACTGGAAAAAATAACAAAGCAGTATAAAAAGAAACTTGTTTAGCATGTCTTCATTGTTAAGTGTATCAAGGAAAATTTAGGAAAGTCCACCTTAACTAACTAGCTTACAATCGATTTACCCCGCGCGGGAACCTAAAAACAGCGTAAAAGCTGCATAAAACGCCATCACTAATCCCTTTTTCTTTCACTTCCAAACTTCCAGGACCACTAGATGGCACACTGGAAAAAATTCAGTTTTTTCTTTTGGTTATTAAATTCCACTTTCGATTAATTACGGTGATTTTTAAGTTCACGTACACTGAGGTAATTTACCTTCTTCTCTTCTTCCGCTGGCGTAGCGAACCGTGTGCTCTATATGTTCTGGGTTTTAGTACACAGTTTTTTTCATTCAAGTGCAGTTTTTTAGCATTCATGAGTCTGTACCTTTGCTGGATATTTTCTGTTGAATTCTTTGAGTTACACCCTCGGAATTCTTAAGTGATTACGGAGGATAAATTCGTATCGGCACCATTATTTTTAAATCTGATCAGTTTACAATTGTAACCTGCTTGGATATTTTCTTTTGAATTAATTGAGTTACACCCTCGGAATTTTAATGTGATTAAGAACGGTAAATCCTTATATGTACCACAAATACAGCACAT